TAAAGAGGGCATAAACAGAGGCATGAATGAAGAATGAATAAGAGCTCTGTCTCTACAGCTTCAGATCTTAAAGTTGATCCAAAATAAATGCAAGTACATACAAAGAAGTGTCAACTTGCAATTAATACTATGCTAAAGTGTGTGTTTTAATTTTCATTTTAATTCCAGTAATATTTTTTTTCACCACAGGAAAACTGAGATTTTTTTTACTGTATAATCAGTATTCATATATATATATATATATATATATATATATATATATATATATATATATATAAATGGAATGAATAAAGCGCGTTCACCAGGAGAGTTTAAAGTTAAAATACTTTAATTAAAGTATTTTACTATATTAAAAGGTTGCCAAGCTTTCGTTGGGAAAACTCCCCAACACACACACACACACACACACACACACACACACGTGTGTGTGTGTATATATATATATATATATATATATATATATATATATATATATATATATATATATATATAATAGTCATACAGTTTATTTATTGTTGGAAGAGATGAAAAATAAGGTGGGGGAGAGATACTGTTATTCTGTTCTATTCTGTTCTTTTCTGTTTGAAAAAACTAATAAACCAGGGTAATGCAAAACAATAATTTGTGAGCAATGTTATAATCAAATGATTGCTGGGAGAAATATCAACAACCTAAGATATGCAGACTCTAATGGCAGAAAGTGAAGAGGAACTAAAGAGCCTCTTGATGAGGGTGAAGAAGGAGAGTGCAAAAGTTGGCTTGAAACGCAACATTAAGAAAACCAAAATCATGGCATCCGGCCCTCTCAATTCCTGGCAAATAGATGGGGAAGAAATGGAGGCAGTGACAGATATTATCTTCCTGGGCTCCAAGATCGCCACAGATGGGGACTGCAGCCAAAAAATTAAAAGACGCTTGCTTCTGGCGAGGAAAGCTATGGCAAATCTAGAAGCATACTAAAAAGCAGAGACATCACCCTGCCAACAAAAGTGTGTATAGTCAAGGCCATGGTTTTCCCAGTTGCAATGTATGGATGTGAAAGTTGGACCAATTTGGCTCAGCGACAAAGAATTGAGGCCTTTGAACTATGGTGCTGGAGAAGACTCCTGCGAGTCCCTTGGACTGCAAGGTGTTCAAACCGGTCAGTCCTAGAAGAGATCAACCCCGACTGCTCTTTAGAAGGCCAGATCCTGAAATTGAAACTCAAATACTTTGGTCACCTAATAAGAAGGAAGAACTCACTGGAGAAGGGCCTTATGCTGGGAAAGATTGAGGGCAATAGAAGAAGGGGATGACAGAGAATGAGGTGACTGGATGAAGTCACTGAAGCAGTAGGCGTGAGCTTAAATGGACTCCAGAAGATGGTAAAGGACAGGAAGACCTGGAGGAACGTTGTCCATGGGGTCATGATGTGTCGAACACGACTTTGCAATTAACAACAACAATATGTGTGATGTCATTCTCAATCCTTGCCCTCTTTCATGATGTTCATGTTCAATCTACACTCCCTTCTTTATCATACTACTTTGTAAATTTAGAAGTCAGGCAAGGGTTGTATGTTAGATTTTTGAATATATTTTGAGCCTATTGGGCTTGATTTTGGATGCCTGTTTGGGTCTGGCAGTTGGCTGTTAAGTCTCTTTTAATTTGCAATGGCTTCTTTCATCTGCTGCTTAAGTTATATACTGATTTTTTTTCCTATGGCCTAATATTTTAAACATGTTGCTGCTCGTAGGTTCATCTTAATTAATTACTACTAATCTGGTGTAACAGTTATGGGTAAAATAAAACACAAATGTTCAAACAGATCATTGGCAATACACTTATATCTGTAGATAAGAATATTTACAACAGGGATAATTTGTGCAAAAGACTGTGCTTTCCATCCAAGCCAACCTCAGTGTATTAAATATTATATATAGCCAAACCATTCTACATCCACAGGTACAAATTTAAAAGCATATTGAAAAAGATACATGTGAGTTAACATTATTGAGAGAATGTCAGACTGCATGGGATTTTATTGCGCAGCTACAGGGAACAGACGCCCTGTATAGAAGACATAATACTACCTATAACTATTAGGCTTTCATTTCCCCAGTAGCCAGACTGTTAAACTCTGTAGACAGATATTTGTTTCTCATTAAAGCATCTAAAGGCCAAATAAAACAGTTAGGTATTGATTTTCAGATGCAGCTCAAAGACAACAAAGCCCAGTCTTGGCCAGATAGAATAGAGACCAAGTTCATTGTCTCATTTCTACTTAGACAGATCCTTGGAATGGCAGAATAAGAAAAATTATAAAATTTATTGTTCCATTTTTTAACCAGATGAGTTCTGGAAAGCAATTTGAAACTGGCAGAAACAAAAAAAAATAACAATGAAAGATGCTTTTTATTTCAGGAGCCAAACTTTGTATATATTAGTGTACAGGCCTTATTACTAATAGAAATAAATACCTTTGTGAACCAAAGTTCATTGTCAATCATCTTAATGGAACTCTTGGAATTATTTTCAGTATAGACTGAATTGTAAAAAATATATCTTTATATATGGAGAGGGGGGAAATTAAGGATTGGCACAAAAGTTGGATTTCATATATTAATACAAATAAAAATAGGAATAAGTTGAGGTATGTAAGGAGATGTGATGAGGCAAACACAGAAGGACTTAGAGAAGTGAACAAAAGAAGAGAAATTTTTTGAGGATTTTTTTTTGTCTCCTCCATTTCAATATGACTGTGATTCCATTGATAATAATTTTTAATAAAAAAAACCATTAGATTTAGACATGCCCAGGTGAAAAAGAAAAGCTTTGAACTTATAAAACAAATTAGAAAACTTTTAAATTTGAAATGGAATGGCAATAATACAAGCAAACCCATTACTATTTGAGCTATCCCTATTACACACTTCACAGCAATCATTATTGGCTAGGCACAGCTGAACTAGTTATTTTAGATTGCAAGATTTGACAACAGACAATGTACTACACTGAAATGTGAACTGAATCATTTGTATCTACTGAAGAAAGCAGGTATTTGTGATTTGTTGCAAGTAAAGCAGTCAGTGGAAGATGAAATATGTGGTTTAAATGATTACATAAAAGTAAACAAAGAGAGGATGCTAGTAAATATCTGCCAGAAAAATATTTTGAATGTGACTGAATCAAAGGTGACATAGAAAACGAAATGTTATAACAGTGAATGAAAAATTGGAAGGAAACTTCTCTTTAGTCAGTCTAAAAAAACCAAAGACAAAATAAAAAGTAGCTAAATTTGGCAATAGCTTCAGACTGGATCCATCAAGAACGAAATGAAAGAATTAATATTTGCAGCACAAGTAAAAAAGCACTAGCAATAAATGCCATAATGAAAATTCAATAGCAAATGCAGATTTTGCAAAGACAAGAATGCAAAGTAATAAGTGGCCATAATAAAATATCTCTAATAGATTTTATGAAAAGACATGAGTGGGGGGCAAAAATGATACATTGAGTTTTATACAGAAACAGATATTCACCACTACTGCAAACATTGAGTTTTACATAAAATACATGGATTTGATGCTCCAAGTATTGGTATGAACATAATGCTGAAAAAAAATGCTACATAATGATTATGTAAAAAAACTTAGGGGATTCCTGAATTCAAACAAAATGATAATTAACAACATGCCAGCTATCATAAGTGATAAAGAAAATCAAGTTTTACTTAAAGATGTAGTTATTCAATACCAAATAACAGCAGAGTAGCTCAAAAGGAACTGAAAAAGACTGTAAGTTACTGGAACTGAGCAATTAAAATACCAAAATGATGAAATAAATTGGCTAAAATTTGTCTCAGAACCATGGGAAGATTAGTATAGAGCTATAATTCTAGAATTACCAAAGCAGTTGAACAAATTAAAATTATTTAATCTCACAATATTTAGCTTACAAAAACCACCTTGCTCTTATATATATACAACAGTAATAATCAGCAGTGGTTTTAGAATGAGACCGTAAACACATATCATTTCAATGCTGAAGTCCTTGTCAATATCTATTTACCAGGTACCTAAACAAATTCTTTTTTAGTTTAGCATTACAGTTTCCAAGAGAAGAGAAATGAAACAGAAAAATTTGGAGGTTTTGGAAATTGTTTCTATATTCAGAAATTGTACCAGTGGGACATTTTCCATTCACACACAACTGTCATAGAGGAGAATTATAAACCATTTTTGGTTCAGTTAGTTGCCTCTTCTGTTTTACTAAATTGCATGCTTGGTAGTAGTAGTAGTAGCAGCAGCAGCAGCAGCAGCAACAATAGTAGCAGCAGCAGCAGCAGCAGTAGCAGCAGCAGTAGTAGTAGTAACAACAATAACAACAATACTAATAATACCAAATAATGACAATGAATCAAGCCCTTCATCTCCCATTTAATTTGGTCTGACCATGAAGGCTGAATAGAAATTAAAAGCAATGAAGAGAAATTGTATAGATTTGAGCTCTTGTTAAAGTTTGCAAAGAAGAAAAGGGGAGATCACCTTATCTTAAAGTGAAATAATGGAAAGACTAGTTTCAAAATTTTCCCTTGTACTTTTCCTGCAAATGTTTACAGAAACTTGAACAGGGAAGGATATTAACAATAATGACTAGTTCAGTGAAACAAAAAACTAAATTAGACAGAAAGATGCCAATACCTCTTTCTCAAAGCCAAGTGCATATGCTATTCACCATTCTTTGTGCTGACAGGAAATTATTCACCAATCACCTTATATAGGATGGAACTAATGAGGAGAACCAAGGCTGGTTTTGTGCAAGCATTTTGCATGATTGTATTCAAAAAGAGCACAACTATCAGCTCTTTTGGAGTGAGTTTAATGCTATTCCCCCCAAAAAATTCTAAACCATGTTCAAAATTGGCCGAACAACAATTGGTAGGTGCAATGAATAAATAAATGCAATAAAGCTGTGAAAAAAATGTTATCTCACTTTCTCTTTCTTGTTTTATTATGCAGCCTCCTCCTTACTATCTCTGGTCAGCTGTTGCTCAAACAGGTCCAAGCTGGGGATCAGTTGAGATTTGAGAGGTATAAGGAGAGAATCCTATTTGAAATAACAAGGCTCTCCTACTGCCCAAAGCAGAACGGGCCTAGAAGAAAGGAACCAGGAATCAGAGGAGACAACAGACATCCTCAGACAGCATCACTGAGCAAAAATAATGTTTTTATTGTGTTAGCCACCATAATCACTTATGTGAAATGGTCATGTAACTCCGGTGAATAAAACTAAGAGTGTATACATTGCAAACCCTGTGCAGTAATGTGGGGGGGGGGGAACAGTACATCAACACTGGTAGAGATCAGAATGACTTCAGGCTGCTTTAGACATGGACAATGGATCAGATGAAGGACAAGCCATGAAAACAGTAACAGAGGTTCCTGGGACATGTTAGTGATGTAGTTATCACATGAAAATGAGAAAAAGCTCCAAGTGTGACAGAGCTCATCAAAATGTGACACATTTCCATTTTTATTACAAGCCCAGCGGTAATATTAAAGCTCCATCTACTTCAAGCAAGCACAAACATAGGACAAAGAAGACAATTTCACTTTCAATTGACGCAAAAGCTTGATTGGGAACTCATATTTTTCTTTTTAAAAAATCAGGTAGTTCAGATTTTTGAAAGTGGGCGGAAAATATAAGGTTTTCACAACTTCCTATTACACGCATTTTCGTATATATATACTAATTACAAGCAGGAAGCTAAAATAAAAAAGCATCATTTGCAACATTGGTTAAGACCTTAATTCAACTTCCATATTGTTGTCATAGGAACAATTCTTTTTTATAGACCATGCTGACCCACTGCTGTGTTTAGTATGAAACTATTACGCTCCATATTCATTCAAATTATAGTTATAATTATTGAAATATTTCTACATTATTTCCATAATATCAGAGTTTAACTGTAGTAAAACAACCTCCTTCAGAGGGGTGACTTTATTTTAAATGTTATATCATTATCATGTAGAACAATTCTCATACCACAGAATATAGTGACAGAAGTTTCCTTTTAAATGCCCTTTTTCTTTATAAATAGCTTAACTTTCTTGATAAAATAAATACATCTGTGGAATACAGCAACAACAATCATCTTAATTACCAAATTAAGCCTGAGATATAAAAATTATTTCACACATCCCTAAGGATAAGTTTTCTTAGTCATATTTATTGATTATAATTTGTGTCACTTTGCATCAACTTCATTGTATTGGTCTGTGAGAAATTCCTGCAAGATATATTTTTCACATCTATGAATTCAAATAGAGAGGAAATTGAAAGAATATTGTACAAACCGTGTCAAATGAAACTTATTTAGCTACATCCAATGACCTGCAAAAGAAAAAGAAAAACTCAAAAACATATGACAGAATGCAGCTAAAATCAGTATAACAGTGTTGTAAAAACTTTAGATTTAAAACCAGAGTAGAAAAAGTTAAATAAAATACAATAAAACAAAAGGTAAAATAAAAATAGGAATAAAATAGAGTTACCATAGTAAAGACATTTCATATCATTGCTCCAAGATTAGAATATCTTATGTTATCTTATGTAAATTGCAACAGATAGAAAATTAGCAACTCTATTGTTGGTGATAGGTTTCAATCAGCAAGTAGAAAATGGATTGTTTCTCCCTCATACAAAATGTAGATTTTGTTAAATGGCGGTAAAATTATGATTGCACATATACTAGTGTAAAAAGGAAATGGAAAAATACATGTGAAAGCATCTCAGATTAATTTGGACCATAAGGACATCATTTTTCAGTGAATGGAGTCCAACTGTGCCTCCATCTAATACAATTGAGGGTGAATGAGCCTACAGGGACCTGAGCAAATAAGCTGAATAAATCATCTCCCAATATAAAAGGTTTGGGTTGATCTATAACCATAATAAAGGTTTGATTTGATTTGATTGTAAAAGGTTTCTGATTTGAAACCGACCACTGAGAGTTGGCAACAACATCCAAATGCATTTGCTGGGTGATGTTTAAGACTCTTATAGATTCTGAGTTTAGCTGTTTCAGGCATAAAAAAATGGGTAGAAAGACTCCAATAGTTGTTATCCTAAAAGCCTGACTTTATATATATATTAACGCCGGAAAGAAAATATTTGTAAGTACTAATCAAGTAGCAGATATTAGTCAAGTAAGACATTAACAATACAATTTAGAGTTATGTTGCAGAAATAATCTAAACAGGGTTTAACTTTTCTTCATTGTGAACAGTTGTCCAAAATATTGTCTGAAAGCATTGCCTAATCTGGAGCCAGGGGCAGACATGGGCACTTTCCCAGAGACAGATGACTCCCATTATGCAAATAAGGGAACTTATTGCTTGAGCAAATCCATAGTTTGCATAATGTAATAAGTGTTCCTATTGTAGCAATCTTTTCTCTTTATTTTCCTCTTATACTAACTAGTAAAATATAGTTACATTAATGAATAGATGTAGAGCCTACATATGTATTAAGAAAGTGATATGTATTTTATGGATGATGCTGATATCACAGTAAGCCCAGACCACCATGGTGGTATGCTGTCTTGCCAACCTATGTAGTATGTTTATAATCTTTCAGAAATATATCCTAGATAATGGGCTCAGAGACAGATTTCTATGAGAAACAAAGGTCTCAAAGTGCATCTAAATGGCATACTTTTTCCTCAGTAAATTAGAAGTGCGCTATTTGACAGTTTGAAGACCACTTCCGCTTTGCAAAGCATGTCAAAAACCACATTCAAAAGTGGGTAGGATTTAAAGCATAAATTGTTGCTTTTGTAATTATTAAGGCACCCATTTATCCCTAGGACAGGAGTCCCCAACGCCCAGTTCGTGGACTGGCACTGCTCTGTGGCATGCCAGAAATTGGGCCATGCAAACAAGCAAAGCCCTATCCACGGGATGCAGGCAGCACGCAAAACCACGCTCCCTCCGATCCGGGGAAAAACCTCTCTCCACGGAACCAGTCCCTGGTGTTCAAAAGATTGGGGGCTACTGCCCTAGGGCTCTCAAACATTATTGAAAAGAATCAAAATTTAGATCACATCCCTTGGTACACTTTGGAAACCATAATCTGCCAACCTATGGTGCCACCAGCTTTTTAATTTTTGTTCAGTGAACCCTTCATCCTCCCAAATATTAAGTACTTATCCAACCTCATTTAGATTCTGGTATCTTTCATATCAGGCGTGTCATGTGTGATAGGGCAAAGAGAGGGTTTGCCAATTCAGACTTCTAGGGGGGAAAAGGAAGTCTTCTTGCTTTCAGGGTAAAGCTTTGAAGATTAAATGAGTCACATGCTGTCAATATGTTGGGTTTGGTTGTTGGGACACTTTTCTGACTTTATTAAAATGTTATTTTCATTGCTTATATACTGTAGCTTAAAAATGGAGTGTTAGGTGCAAATTCTTGCATGTTTTCTAAGACTGAATTAGTGGCAGCACAATTCAGCGGCAAAATATATTTCTCTGTCTACTGGTATGGGAGGTCTTTCTCTCTTTCCCTCCCTCCCTTACCAACATTGTTGGATGCATTAATAAAAACTGACTGATCTCCCATGGGACTTATATGGAAATGAGGCAAACCACTATTGTCTTCACAATCTTTGTAACAGAATCCCCAGAAGTAAAAATAGTACATCCAATTATTTGATCGGGAAATGAGATCCATTGTAAACATAACACTAGAAGTGAGGCAGAATGGCTCTACAGTTAGTTATTTGTTTTCATTCCTTAGGATCCCAAATTATTTTTGAATTATTAATACATAAAATGCATACCATGAATATCATAAAACATCAGTTTAGCACAAGACAAGCTGATGATTGCTCCCCATAATCCCTTTAACCTTCATAGGATGCTTAACTTTTTGTTTGTTTGTTTGTTTTCTGAGGTGAATGCATTCCAAATAAGCCCTGAGCTGCAGCCCCTTATCATTTTTATTTTCTAAGAATGTGTTATTTGCTAAATACATAGGATTGCTTGCAAAGCTTACCATTTATTTATAGAAAGGGAAGGAAGGGGAGGACAAGGTATTCAAAGATGCTAATGGTCCACTGGGTCTACATTGGCCTTGATTAGAATCTAGAGTTTTCTACTCTTTCCCCACCAGTGTGGCTTTGAAGGGAAACCAGAAGGCTATTATTGGTGCTAAGGCAACACTGTTAACATTTCTGATTGCGAGGCAATCCTCCAGCCCTTTGGGCCCTCAGTTCTCTCCTATCAACCTCCACCCAACCTTGAGTTTTCTTTCTTTTGATTGCCACACTAGAATAAACAATGAAAGGGTTTGATGCTCCTACTTGATAGCTTTAATGGAGATTACCTTGATTGCAAAATTATCACTTCTGAGAATGTAATAAAAATCACAATGGAGAAGAATTTGCTCAAATCTTACAAAGATGACACTGTGAAGCTTTTTATATATATATCATGCCTTGCAAATATGTTGAAAATCAGATCCCATCATTTCCTATTCAAAATCTGACTGAGAAATTATAATACTGCTAGACTGACACATCTGGAATATACCAGACTGAGGGGGTGTTGTTATTGTTAATTCAGATGGGACTAAGAAATCATTACACTTCCTCCCCAGCAATGAGACATCAACACCACATATCACTTCCCTTCTCCCTTGGGTCAATTCACAGACTTTAGTCTAGACCACATATGGTGCCAGAAGCTGAAACAAGAGGCAAGCCAGAAGCATTGCCAGAAGGTGACTCCACATCCATAACTCCTTCGAGCCAAGCCATGTACTAAAGAATTAAAAGAGGAGTAGAGAGATGGATTACTTCTATTTTCTAAAGAGAAACTGAAGTATAATCTTCTCTCTCCGGCTTTGAAGTGAAAATGTCAGAGAAATGAGACATGTTTTAGCTTTTCCCATGTTCCTTTTGATCACGTCTCTTTGTTGCTGGGGCAAATAACAGCCCTGTCTTTTTGTTTACAGCCAAAATTTATCTTAGGCCTCCATATAGTATTCAATAAAATAGGCCTGCAGACTGTTGAAAATAACATTCTCCATTCAGATGTTATTCCTTGGACAGGCTGAGTGTTTTGTTCTACTTTTTTAAAATAAGTAGAATAATGAATCCAGTGTTTTAAACTAGCAATTTTGCTTGTTTATGTAAGTTTTAGATTATGTGAATCAGTCCAAATCAGTTGTAGTCATAGTCTAATATTTGGGATCTGAATATTCTAATAATGTTGGGAGTTTTAGGATCATATATTTTAGTTATTGGGT